TGATGACCCACACAATTGAATCCTTTTGCATAGTCAATAAAACAAACACAAATAAACATCTTTCTGGTATTCTTTGCTTTGATCCAAAATCCATCTCACATCAGCAGTGATATCCCTCATTCCACGTCCTCTTCTGAAACCACCTTGTATTTCTGGAAGTTCTATGCTGATATACTGCTACAACAATTTTTCAATCATCTTCAGGACATTTTACTTGCATGTGATATTAATGATATTCTTCAACACTTTCCACATTCTGGGGGATGAACTCTCTTTGGAATGAGTACAAATATGCATCTCTTTCAGTCAGTGGGCCAGTTAGCTAGCTGTCTTTCAAATTTCTGTCATAGACAAGTGAGTCCCTCCAGCATGGCATCCATTTGGTGAAACATCTCAGTGGGTATTGTGTCAATTCCTGGAGGTTTGTTCTTTGCCAGTTCTTTCAGTGCAGCTTCAACTTCTTCCTTCAGTACCATTGGTTCTTAATCATATGTCATCTCCTGAAATGGACAAACAGCAAATATTCATTTTGGTACAATGACTCTGTGTACTCCTTCCATCTTCTCTTGATGGTTCCAACATCATTCAATATAATGCCCATAGAATCCTTCAATATTGCAACTCGAGGCTTGAACTTTTTCTTCAGTTCTTCAGCTTGAGAAATGCCAAGCTTGTTCTTCCCTTTTGGTTTTCTAACTCTAGGTCTTTGCACATTTCACTATAGTAATTGGCTTTGTCTGTTTCAGCTGCTCTTTGAAATCTTCTGTTCAAATCTTTTATCTTGTCATTTCTTCCATTTGCTTTAGCTACTCTCCACCCAAGGGCAATTTTCAGAGTCTTTTCTGACACCCATTTTGGTCTTTTCTTCCTTTCTTGTCTTCTTAATGACCTTTTGATTTCTTCGTGGATGAGGTTCTTCATATCATCCCACAATTCCCCTGGTCATTGGTGTTTAATACATTGAATCTATTCTTTAGATGGTCTCTAAACTCAGAAATGATATTATCAAGGTCCTATTTGGCACACATGGACTTGTTTTAATTGTTTTCACCTTCAACTTGAACTTGCATATGAGCAGTTGATGGTCTGTTCCACAATCAGCTCCTGGCCTTTATTGGCTGAAGATAATGAGCTTCTCCATCACCTCTTGCCACAGATGAAGTGGATCTGACTCCTGTGTACTCCATCTGGTGAAGCCCACTTGGATAGCTATCATTTGTGTTGTTCAAAAAGGTATTTGCAGTAAATAGTTCATTGATCTTTCAAAATTCTATTATGCAATCTCCAGTGCTATTTCTATCACCAAGGCCATATTTTCCAACCACCGGTGATTCTTCCTTGTTTCCAACTTTTGCATTCCAACCAGCAGTGATAATCAATACATCTTGATTGCATGTTTGGTCAATTTCAGAATTCAAAAGTTAGTAAAAATCTTTCTTTTTCTCATCTTTAGCTTTGATGGTTGGTGTGTAACTTTGAATAATAGTAGTATTAACTGGCCTTCCTTGTAGGCATTTGGATATTATCCTATCACTAACAGCATTGTACTTCAGGATAGACCTTGAAACATTCTTTCTGATAATGAATGCCACACCATTCCTCTTCAATTTGTCATTCCCAACATAGAGAATCATTTGGTTATCTGATTTTAAATGGCAAAAACCAGTTCATTTCAGCTCACTAATGCCGAAGATATCAATCTTTATATGTTCCATTTCATTTTTGATGACTTCAATTTTCCTACATTTTTCCTTCGTACATTCCATGTTCTGATTATTAATGGATGTTTGCAACTATTTATTCCCATTTTGGGTCATGCCACATGAGTAGATGGAGGTCCTGAATACTTTACTTCATCCACATCATTAAGGTCAAACCTACTCTGAGGAGGCAAGCTCTTCCCCAATCATATTCTGAGTGCCTGCCAACCTGAGGGCTTCATCTTCTGGCACTAGATCTGACAATGTTTCAGGGCTCTTCATAAAGTTTTCCAGTAATATATCAGACAGTGTTTCAAAGCTACTCATCAGGCTTTAACTGGTCAATTCTTTCAGAAGTGGATGGACCCTTCCTTCTTCTGAGCTATCTTGGTCTGGAATCTCCACTGAAACCTGTCCACCATGGCTGATCTGCTGGTATTTGAAATACTGGTGGCATAGCCCCCAACCTCACAGCAACACAAAAGCCACCACAGTACAACAAACTGAAAGTTTAGAGGTGGAACAGGAATAATAACAATACAGAAAAATGAAAAACCACCCAAAATTCAATTTGTTCAATAAATAATTAGATTTACACATAGTGGACTTTGATGCAACCACTGAAATTATTATTTGTAAGAATATATGTTTAATTAATAGTAGAAGTATTCACCATGTGGGACTTGGTTTATTATTTCAGGAATTTCATAATCCCTAAGACTGAGGATTTTTCTCCCCAGTAAAATCCCAGAGGCTAAGTTAGCAATGACTAAATTTCTCCCACATATCTTTAGGGTAAAAGTAAGTCATTCAAACATTTCTGTAAAACCAAGATTTTACCTTAAACTGCAGAGTTCTTGTTCCCATTCCACCTTTTGATGCTCTAACTGTGATTTCATTTCTTTTGTTTCTGATAGCTCCTGTTGTAGTCGACTAACCTCATTTTCCATTTCTTTATTTTTTCTTATAAGTCATTCACAGTGATTTGTTTTTAGTTTTATTAATCTTTCACATGAAAGAATAGTATCTTTCATTTTCAATAGACTAATAGAATCTGCATCAATGAGAAAATGAAGATATAGTTAATATATATGAGCACTTTTGTGTACAAAGTCCCATTCATTTTTACACTCATACATTGAACACACATATTGGGTTAGGCATACCTTAGTCTTCAAGGAGATATATTTGCTCTTCATTACTTGAAAGAGGTCTTTTGCAGCAGATTTGCCTAGTGCAAAAAACACAATACATTGAACAAATATATACTGAATATCTAATGTGGAAGACATTACACTAAGCTCTGCAGACCAAAAGGACAAGATTCCTGTTATTGTTTAGCTTAAAGTCTACTACAGGATAGAGACAAGTAAAGAGGTAACTATTATTCAGATACTCTTAGAGAACAGAGTTCTAGGATCACATAAGAAAACTTGATTTAGAATTTGTTCTGGTTACCTAGTACCACTCTGATAAGAATATATCACAAATGGGATGGCTTGAACAAACAGGAGTTTATTCTCTTACAGTTTGGAGGCTTTAAGTCCAAGTGAAAAGTGCCAGGATCTAGGGGCTGGGTTAAGGACCCTCAAACTTGGGCTTCAGCTTTGCCTGCTGCTCCCAGCTCACTGGAGGTAGAGGCTTTTCTTCACTCGGACAGCTAGCTGCTGGCTGCTGAGACTGACAAGCCCGAGCTTTACAAGTAAAAAGGCACTGTGCCAATGTTACCAAACCACATGGCAGGCCATGGAAAGTCACAAGATTGGCAGAGCATGGCAGGCTGCTGAACAATGACATGGCTACATGCAGGGTCGAAGCATGCTATAAGCTAGAAACCATTCCCAAAGTTATTCCTTATATACGGGAAGCAGACCACATACCCAGAGGCAGCTACTCAGATGGTCACTGTAGATTCCACCATGGAGGTGATTACCAGTCTCATCATGGGGAATACTACATCCAGCTGCCCAGCCACTCAACCAGGCTTAGCCAAGTTGACACACAAACTTAACCACTACAGTATCAGTCCAAGGAAGATTTTCCTGAGCAACAGATGCCTACAATGACAACTGAGGGTTTAGCAGGAAGCAGTTAAGTAAAAGGGCAGGAAGAACATTCTAGATTTTCTACACAGCATGTGCTGAAGCTCTGTGGAAATCCACTTCCAGCCAAGATGTATTAGCAGGTACTGATTCACCTTCCCACATGAAATGACCAAAAATAAAACAGACACAAGACATTAAATGATGATTTTAAGACACTGGATTCAGACAATAAATGACAATCAACTCTGAAAGATACAAAACAGACCAAGGAATTCTTAAAAATATCCATCTCGCTGTCTTGAGACAGTTGCCAGGACATGACATAGGGAGAAGAAACAGAGGGTCCAGCAGACTCCTTGAGTTGAGGTTCTGAAGTTGTGTATATAGAAGTCAAAAGTTAGAACACCAGAGAGCAGAGACCACCAATATAGGCAGAGATCTGTAGAGGGGCCCCCTTGGGTATTGACCAGAGTAATAAACAGTGCATGAATATGAAGAAACTACTAGAAAATAAAAATGTTTGAAAAGTTTTGAGGAAACAGTGCCTGTGTTCACATTGGAAAAGGAATAATGTTTGATTCTACTAGCCAGTCTAGAAAAACCCATGAAATTCACAGGACATTCACTGGGTACTCAGAAAGTTCTTCCCTTGTGGTGGGGAATAATTAGCCCTGGACTGAACACTACTCTCAACCCACCTGCCAAATCATTAAGGCAACATCAGAAAAGATTAAACTGTTTATGAGTAACTGTATCCTAAAGCAAAGCTCAAGATTTATAGGAATAAAAAAATATCCAGCACCTAACAAGATAAAATCCACAATAGCTGGCACTCAATCAATGATTACCAAACATGCAAACAGGCAGGGGGAAAAGAAAACTATCAGGAGGAGAACAATCAGTCAAGTGAAACTGACCCATAACTACCATGGATGTTAGAACTGGCAGAGAAGGCAATTAAAAGTTCTAACTATTTTCTACTGGGGGCACCAGACTCAATTGGCACTATAAAATACATAAAAGTCT